AAGCCTAAGCGAGTTTTAGCAGGAAATGGCTGAAGAGGGAAAACGTTAGAAATAAAATATGTTGCGGCAATTAATGAACAAATTCAGACAATATGAAATTAATAACGAATATTGCCACGGCGAGCAAAAAAAAAAAAAAAAAAAAACCGTCAACTTAAATCTTAAAGAGCCTTGTGGTTAGCTAGACTAGAACAACAATCCTCTCATTTGAGCGTATGTGTCAACAAGTTATGTAGCTGGTAGTGAAGGAAAAAATCCAGACAGATAATCATCATTTTATGAAGAGTTCTTTGGGAAGAGAGTAAAATACGTTGGCGAGAAGAAGGGAATGAGACGAAGCTGGGCGTGGTTGGCAGCAGCAGCAAGCCGCAGTGTTGTTAACATTGTGTGGTGCCATGCTCATGTCAACAACAACCCACGCTTCTTCAAAACTAAACTAGCTTTTCTTTTTTTTTTTTTTCATCACGTTATCCACTCTTCAAAATAGAGTCTTCCACATGTGCCCCCAAGCAAAGATTACAATTCATTCAGATACGAAGACAATACGACAACGTATTTATTTAGCAAAACCACTTTTGACAAAGGGAATGAAAAAGCTTTAAATTAGTGATAAGCTGAAGAGCTTGACCCCCCAACAACTCCCGACCCCAGATAAACCATTCCCCTTTCTATCAATATCGTTTAGGTCCACTCCAGGTAAATAGGTGGTGGGTGATGTCGTATATTATTCAGGACCTACCCGCAAGTGCAGGTCTCCACTATATCACCTTTTTTTTTTTTTATATATCACAGACAGAAGCACCATGGAAATATGAAATGCATATTCACTTGACTTCTACCATCGAGGTTATAAATTTGAACAAAATAAAATTTAAAAAAATAACTACTTTATAGGACAACGAAAATTAGAAAATAACATTTCAACTGGTATAGAATTATTTTTCTCTTAGTACACTTGATTTAAAGGATAAGTTTTTATAGGCGACATACTTTTTTTTTTTTAGTGTTCTTAAAATAAGCCATTGATCCCAATTTCAAAACAAAAATTGGGTTAAAAAGCAAAAGCATTTTAATGTGACTAATATACCTGACTGACTCATTTTTTAAATTAGGTTATATCTTAAAATAAGCGCAAAATGTCTAAACGAAATAAAATAAAAATAAAAAGCAAACATGTTAGTTAACAAGCCACAAAAATGCCAATATGGAAAGTCATTGTACATTACAACAACATTATTGTTCTCACATAAAACTACTTATTTTCTTTTTATTTAGCTTTGGATGAATATCGGCTTCCTTTTGAAATTTTTTGAATGCAAGTTTAAATTTTAATTTAAATCGGAAATCATTATTTGAACAAGCGAACAGAAGTGAAGTGGGTGTTGCTGGCAATATTAAGGATGATGTCAGAGACGTTTTATATAAACACCGGTCACTAGTTAACGATTTAGTAGATCCAATTGTTATCTTAGTCACTAACAATCTTTACAAAACAGGTTTCTTGTTAACAGCTGCACATTTGAAGGAAGGGAGGAAAATGTCATCTGAAAAAATATACCCAACTAAATGACAAATAACATATGCAGCATTTCAAATGCACACGACATTCATTATCTTATTGCCGACAGACACACACAACCACCTGTTTTGTATACAAGTCAAATTCAAACTTGTCATGGTGACGGATAAAAACTGAAAAGCAGAAATAAAATGATCGACCTACTTGAACTTGAGGATAAGAATTTCTAAAAATTTCAAACTACAATTTCGTTTTGTGACAGGGTCAATGTACAAATTCAAAGCAAGATCAATGTGGTTTCAATCGTGTATCATTATATCACATGAATAATTTGTATTCATTCAATGTTGTTACTCATCAGAAACATGTGGCAAATGTAAAGAAATCGATTAAATTCGAAGCCATGAGTAACAAAAATGAAAGAAAAAAAAAAAAAAACAACACTGGTAGGATTTCGATAAGAGACTACGAGACAAGCATTCCTTCGTCTACAATGCAATCAGAAGAGGTAATATAAAAGAATGATGGATACATTCTGTACATTAAGAAGAATAATGAATGAGTGACATTAAAGATGAAAATTATAAATAAAAAAAAATCTATCCGTTCTCAGCAAAAAAAGAGATGACCACTTATAACGACTAATCTCTTTTTTTTTTAGTCTTTACTAGTTAGTAGTTAAGAAAGCTGTAGAGAAAAAAAAACTCGATTTCCATTGTAGTCTTAAAAACCCAAATTGTCACTATTGTAATCTTTCAACTTTTAGTCAATAAATTATCTTTCTTTGAACTGAATTTTTTCTTTAAATATGGCGCACTCAAACACTTGAAATATTTTTAAAACAAAATAAAACTGGTTTATCAGTCTTATTGAAAAGAAAATCTTAGCTTCAAGCTCAATCGTTTTGTTTCGCGAAACGGGGTATTTTTTTTTTTAAATCAGAGTGATGAAAAAAAAAAATCTGGGAGAGATATTTCTTCATCGACAGCTGGCGAAAAATAGATGTCCAAATTTTTTTATTTTTATCTCGCAGGATAGATTGCAGAAATAATGAAGCAAAGGAACAACGATTTTTAAGGGCAGAAATGATTTATTAATTTATTATTATCCTCGACAATCGTGTGTTGGCATATTTTTCCAATAGTAAACAAAAACACTAAACTAAAAAAGTAAGGTAAGGACATTTAAACTCAAAAAGGGCCGTCAACGTTAATGTGAAATTAGGTTTGGAACCTTATGAATAAACGGTATATCTCAGTTCAGAGATTAAGAAAAAAATCCCTCTTCATAAATTAAGTCAAAATGCGAAAAAATCCATAGGATTTTTTGTTGTCGACTCGTATTTTTAACTATCAAAACTTGTTGAGTTTTAAAAAAAAGTTTTCAAGAAATGATATTAGAGGCAGAGTAAGTTAAAAAATGAACTTTGAATTATCCATTCTTCGATTTTAAATGTTATTTTTATTTACATATTTACAGGAGGCGATTTCTTTACCTAAATTACTCCGCTCTAATCATCTCTACAACAGAACAATCGAAAAGTTATTGTTTTTTTCTTATTGATGGGGGTAGAAAAAAAAAAAAAAAAAAAAAAGAGTCGTTAAAAAACGTCATCTTACTAGTAAATAGTCTTGATTTTTTTTTTTCATGCAGCATTTCGAAATTAGAGTATTAACAAATAATTATCTACCTGAAGGATGATAATTGGGAAGAAAAAAGTATACAAAAAGAAAAACTTGTTTTAGTTTAAACGATAATCAAACAAATTAAAAACATCTGTGCTGTGAAACATACATTTTTATTAAGGATAAGTCACGTGACCAGTTTACACAGCAAGTATGTTAGTTAAAGTTTTTGCTATTAGTAAAAATTAAGAAAAAAGTTATAACTGATAGAAGGGTAAAAAGACCCACAAAATAAATTTAACAAAATAAGTAAAGAAATAAAACAAAAAACATTCTAATAACTAAAATAAAATGCCATTGCCAAAAAAAAAAAAAAAAAAAAGAAAAAAAAAGTTACATAGTTTTTTTTACTCAAACTGCTATCTCAGCGAACGAAACTTTTTTTGGCAGAAGAAATTGATTTCTTTCGCCTTTTTTCTTAAGTTTTCAAATACAAAGAATTTTTATTTATATTTTCTTTAACCAGAGGAAGTCTGAAGGAAAATATATCTATGAAAACGAAAACATTTTTAAAATTAAAATACTATCAAATTTACCAAGAAGCCCCACAGAGCGGAAAAAATATTTACTTTAAAAAATGTTTTCAGTCTCTCTAAATCTAAGAGGTTGGGATATTACTTTAACTTTTTGCTACAACAGACATTATTAAACAAGCTGCAAATATCGGTCACGTGATCAACTTATCGTAAAACGTACTAAACAGAAAGTAACCATTAGAAACTAAAAACTTTTGCCAATATGTGTGCGTGCGGTTTGAAATGTATGTACATTTTTTTATAACTTTCTTTCAACACTCAAAAAGTGCTGCCAGAAGTTTTATAAGTTTGTTATCTGAAGCATAAAACTATAGTTCAGGCTTTACGTACCAAAGAAAGAGTACACTTTCTTTGGTAAACACAACGCCCCCCAGTAATCAAGCAAAAGATCTCCTTGCCAAACCAAATTAGTGTATCACTACTTCAAGTTTATTTTAAAATAATACTTTTTAAAATGCTAAAAATTGCAATTTTACTAATTTTTTTAAATTATAAATGGCGAAATCAAACTTTTTTTTTTTGGAGGGGGGGTCTATTCTTTTAGGATAATCACATTTAAAACTCACGAAAACTCAGATCTTTATTCAATTCAAATTGATAAATAAGTCTGCGTAATTTGTGTATATATGTTTTAGCTATTTATTATTGTTTTAAGTTTCAAATCGTGTCTGGGTTTATGCGTGCGTGTGTGTCGAGTTGGGTTGGCATGCCAAAACGATGACACCCGACATGATGGTCATAAAGTCGGGGATCGATCTCAGTTCGAAACCGCTATAATCTGATTATTCCGATAAGGACACCGTGTAAAGACTTAAAACTTCTAATTCTGAAGTTATCAAATGAACCCTACCAAACACAGAAAGGTCTGAAAGTAGTTTTTTCCGCCGCCAACAAGCCAGAAATTAAGACAATCCAGGTTTAAGAAAGTGAGGAAGAAAAGATGGTCAGACGCGAAATGAAAGATTAAAAAACTTTAACAACCGGCCTTTCACTTTTTCATCTGTACCGTTTAGCTTTCTAAATTAAGAATTATTTTCAATATTCACGGAACAGACAAAGAATTATAGTAGGAAACTGAAAACTGGTATTTTAACAGTGAAAAATATTTAAATACGAGAGAGAAAAAAAACGATCCCCCAATTTCGGGCCGCAGCCAACTTAACAGACATAAAGGGTTTGGTTGTTTCTTGCATTTCTTTTCTGGGTACGATTTACTTCAAGAAATATGTACAGGTTTGGTTTAGTCAATCTGTCACTCACCTATCGTTGAAATGAAGGTCGTATTGAAGGCATCCTCGGAGAATCTGAAGAGTACGCAAGTTTTGCCCACCCCCGAATCCCCTATCAGTAGCAGCTTGAATAAGTAGTCATAGGTTTTCGCCATCTTGCTATGCAATGGCTGCGTCTGCTCAGGAAACACCCTCATTTACATATTAGTGACGTTGCATTAACGTCACTTCCGCTTTTAAATAAAAAAATAAAAAAAACGCACACATACTTTCACTTCTTGTCTATGTTAATTTTATTTTTGTAGGAGACTAGATATTTTATTTAAAATTAAAAATAAATAAGACGTTTATTCTCTGAAAAGAAACCTGCACTGTGAATTGTATAACAATGCGCGTAAAAAAATATAGATGCATAAATACAGATAGGTGTGGGAGAGAAAAAAAGAGTCACTTTTAGAATAAGAACTCTAAACTTTGAATAACAGATTTTATATAAAGTGCCAATTCTAAAAAAAATGACTCCTTGCAATTGCATATGAATATATATGGTAAACTTAGTTAAGTCTGGTATAAGTACACATATATGGAACATCGAGAGAGGATTAAACTCACTATTCTAATTATGAATAGTTTGTGACATTAACTTGACATCATACCACAGCGACATGTTATATATCTATCTATCTATTTCAGTCTGTTCATATCTATATATCTATGTCATTCTGTTCATATCTATCTATCTATTCCTTCTAAGGATGAAATGTATTATATAGGAGCATATTTTATTTTGTCATTCAATTACTCACATAGTAAATACGAGGTCTAACTAGAAATTATCAAGACTGTTGTTATGGTAACAGAGCTAAAGCACACAGTGTGAAACCACTTGGTACATATTGACCTTGAAGTCTGTTGCATGTACGCACTAAGTTATAATATACTCGTTCACTTCCATTGTTGATAGCAGGACTTGGAAGGAAAGTGTGTAGTGTAGATTTATCATCCCACATCACAGAGGTTCAATCATTAACCATGGCTTGTGTTGCAATTTTTTGGTCAAGCACAACTTTCCCCACGTCTGATAACCACCATATTCACCAGATCTAACTCCTTGAATTTTTTCCTTTTCAAAAATCAAATTCCACTTGAAAGAAACAAGATTTCAAGACATTAAGGAAATTCAGAAGAATGCAACGAGGCAGCTGCTCACTATCCCTAAAAAGGAGTTCCAGAAATGCTTCCATTATTAGAAACAACACTGGATAAAGTGTGTGGCTTCAGATGCAAGCTACTACAAAGAAGATTAAATGCCGAATTGATATGTGTTGTACTTTCCTTTTTATAGCACCAGGCCTGATACTTTTGATCAGATCTCATATAACAGTGTTTTATTATGGAAATGCATTGTATATAATTCTACTGTAGAAACACATACAAATTGAGTTCCCAAAAATCTTTTCATGATTAAAATTAAGCATATGTTGTAATATAAAAATTTTATATTTATTATTTTAAAAGTGTTAGCATTGTATAAATGTATAATTGTTTAGGTTGTTTTTTTTTAGTAAAGGTTCTTTTGGGAGAAGTGTATTTCTATGAAGGCCAGACGGTTTGTGTTAAAAATTGCTACAACTGTATATCTTTTTCGGCTCAGTAGTTAAAACCCACCAAAGGATCCATTTCCAGTTTGTGGAAAATGATTTTTTCATAAATACTGACCAATGGTCTCAAGATCTAGTAACATCCTGAATAGTGGGGCAAGTGTGAGCCTAATTTTCTCAATAAATAGAGCTCAGGTCAGTAGATACAGGGAAGAAGATTTTTGACAGCAAGAAGAAAAGGCAGATAGTCAACATCAAAGAAGGCATTTGACATCAAGAAGAGAACTTCAAAGAAGGCACCATTACCGACCAGCAGCAGAGAGCTCAAAAGTTCAAGTGAAAATTCTTTTCTGGTTGGATAGCCAAGATCGAAAAAAATTCTAAAAGATTTTCCCAAGTACAAATTGTGTGAAGTTTGTGGTGAATATGAAATAAAAATAACTCTCTTTTCTCCACTGTTTTCAAATTCATGAGCCTAAGCAAAAATTTATTTTGACCAATAGAAAAAGCGATTGGCTCTAAGCTGAAGAAAAAACCAAGGCAAAGTTTAATGAGCCTACATGAAAATTTATTTTGACCACTGGAAAAGGGAGAGGCTTACAAACTCAGAAAAAGTAATGAGTCGATGTGAAATTGCTTTTTGATATAAATAGGCAAAGAAAGTTGAATCAAGGCAGAGAGAAAGAGAAAAAAAAAGCAGAAAGAAGCAGAAGGCAGAAAGCCAGAGTTCCACGTGTCTGAATAACACCAGTGTCAAATTACATTCTGATACAGTATCAGCCTCTAATGAGAGCAGGGCAATTTCAAAGAACTCTATTCAACTCCAAAGCAAAGTACCTTAAAATATATCTTTTCATTCATAAGCCCCCATTCTTTATAAAATGCCTCCATGGTATGCATCTCAAATAGCTTCTGACAACTGTTATGGGAGTGCTGGTCATGCCTGGATCAGGAAAACCCATGTCTCCTGGTATATTTGTCCCACAACAAAAATGGCAGACTCAGAATCTGAGTCTGGATAATAAAAAGACAAGTAACACCAAAACTATATATACAATAGATACATATATTTACATGTTGAAAATGAATGGGTCTTTGTTGTGGAAATGAAGAGACCAATAGTTCAATGTGATTTGTTGCAAGTGAGTCTGCAACATCTGAAGTTATTTTGTTGCAAGTGTGTCTACAAAATCCAAAGTTATTTTGTTGCAAGTGAGTCTGCAAAGTTCAGTGTAATATATACGCCAAAATGAGTGTGTGAAGCACATGCTAATTAAACATGTGTGTGACTGCTGGCTGAATGTGTGTGACAGCAGTAATTTTAAAACACAGTGAACAAAGAGAGTTGAGACAAGACTTACTTCACCATGGCTTTATATGTAGAAAAATCATCACTGGCTGATGCATTGTCATGATAATGTGTGTTGAGGCTGGTCAGATTCACTGAGTGTTCCATTTCACAGATCTGTCTGCTGACTGTCCTGTTTCAGGTCTGGCCACTGACTCTTCTGTTTCAGATCTCTCTATTGACTGTTCCATTTCAGATCTCTCTGCTGTTTCAGATATGGCCCCTGTTTTATGGCTTATGATGAGTCAGTGACCAGCTCACAAATTGTATCTGAGTTCTGCACAGGAATGTAACTAAGTAACCCAAGCCCTGACCTATTTCCAGGTCATTTGGGGTTCAACAGTGCAGACATTGTAGAGAGCACATCACATCACATGTCATATCCAATCACGCTCCAGAAAACACTTATTTAATTTGGAACCCTGTTCGTACAGAATTGTAAAAAAGTTTTTCATATCAACTGAACTTAGTAAGATTTGTCTGAAGGTGGCTCTTGTTTGGGCTTCACTTATTGGCCATAAAATATAGGAGTATATATCCTATACAACTAAGTCCAGCTCCAATCCAGAGAATAGATGAAAGCAGAAAATTGGCACCTTGTAGCCATCAGGTAGATGGAGCTTGACAGCCCAGGAAGGCAGTCCACCTAGGAAAAGGAAAATCCTGATTTTAAACCTCCACTGCCTTGAAAGGCTAAAGAAGTAAATCCAGGCAGAAAACCCAGAGTGGGACTCCAAAGCTGTCCCCAAATGTAATGCTCTATATTCCTTTGGACATTGTCAATATGGCTGAGACGGGGTGGGGGCATGTAGTCTGAGCAGTGCAAGGTCTCCATATACCATCACCCACACCTGCACCCTGAAAAGGTTACTCCAGTTTCACCATCAAAGGACTGAATTTTGACCAAACAGGATGCTATCTTTATCATGTGAGATAAACAGATGCCTATTTTTTTTTTTTTAATAAATAAACAGAGCATCTACTCAAATATGAATACCCACTAAAATAAGATGTTTAAGTAATAAAATCTGTCGGCTTAATAAACAAAAATCCATCCCTTTTTATTTTTATATATATATATATATATATATATATATATATATATTGTGTATTTTGGTAGTAATCCCACCTTTATACAGGTTCACTGAAGATAACTGATAAGGCACTGTTGTAGGAAATTCTGTCATCTAGCTTTTTTATATTAAAAACCGAATGTCCAAATTCCCAACAATAATAAAACAAAAAGAAAACATCGATATGACTGTTAAATAAATCATTTGTACTTACAAACCTATGTACATGAATTCAAAAGAATTAAAAATAGTCTTTAGTAGAGTTAAAGTCTTTGGGTAGTTGGTATACAGAAAAAATCTGTGCTAGTGAAAAGACTTTTAAATAGTTGGTACACATAAAAAAACTGCAGTTGAGAAGAGATTTTTATCATTAATGAAGATTCAGTGACTGTCTTTGTTGTTGTTGTTGGAGATAATTTATTTGAAGTCAAGGACACATGATTGTCAGCAAAGATTCACTGACCAACTCAACTGTTGTTGTTAGAGATGATTCATTTGAAGTCACCAGCATATGTTTTTTCCAGCACACACTGGCAAGAAGGAAAATAGCTATGGAGCCACATCTCTTATGTTTGGCTTGGAGAGAGCCACATCGCTGCTTTTGAAAGCCAAAATCTCCAGGTTTTTATAAGAAAAATTTACCAAAAATAAGCTTGAGTAAATAAGTTTTTAGTTTTCTCTGATTGGTCAAATATTTTACATGGTGAGGTTAATTTCTAAACAATAGACATTGATTTAAACAGTGTGTGTTGTATTGTGAAATCTTTTTGGCATGTTTGTAAATATTGTCTGTTATTGGGTAAAAAATAAAGTTTGAACATGTTTTAATCTGGTATGTATGTGGGTATATAATTGTGTTGGGAATAGCATTTATTTCTTATATGTAAATAACAGTTTCTACTGCAGAAAAAGGAATTGGCATCATGAATTGAAATTCCACCCAACACATTTGCTTTTGGACAAATGCTTTTTCTAACTCAAGTTCATTACAGACCCCAAGGGGAACTCATATATATGATCTGTTGCTAAAGATGCTGGCAAAATGGCATGTATCACTCCAAAAAGTACCTGGTTCCTCCTGTTATTCTATATATTTACAAGAGTCAGGTCAGATTGAAAATGCAATACTTCTGCTACTTCTGGACTCAAGCTGCCCAGTTCTCTCTTTACAACAT